AAAAAATTTATAACTCACAATTAATTGCAACCTTCGCCGTTCAACGTCATTTACAGCTTTATCTACAACCTGTGAAAGAAGTTCAACTGTCTCTCTATAAGCCTCTAATGCGGCAGTGAAATCATTTGCAGCATCAAACTCTACAGCAGATTGAGCCTTTTGTAGAGCAATAGTTAATATAGATTTTGATTGAGTACGAGGCGAAGGTGGACTTCTTTGTGATATTGGACTATTATTACTATTAGATGCTGCGCTTAATTCATTATTTCGTGTTGGAGGAGGAGTTAAATGATATGATGTGGTGGTGGTGGTGTTTGCCATGAATTATTTAATTATCGTTTATACAATTGTGATAAATTCGAGAGAATGTGTTTGAAATTTTAATAAAAGATTTGAGGTAATCTAGGCATATTATAAATTTTTTTAAAAAAATATTTTAGTTTAATGTTTGTTATATCGTGGCAAATAACAAACAATTCTTTTTAAGTTTTTATTCAAATACCTTGAATATACAAGTTTTTTAAATTTTTTTTTTTTTTTGAATTAGGAAATAATTTTGAAGTAGATATATATATGTATGTATGTGTATGTATATTATTATACTGGTAGCATATGTTATATACAGTGAGTGAATTATGAAAAGAGGAGTGGGAAGAAATATTTAAATTAAAAATTTTAAAAAATAATAGTGATTGGTTGTTAGTAATTAAAGAAGGTCTGTGAATGTGAAAATAAAGATCTTTCAGCAAAAATTTAAAACATGAAGAAAAAATTAAAGGGTGTAAAGTACTCGAAAAAAAAACTTATTTAATTATCAAAATAAAAATGCAAACTTAAATTATATATATATTTTGTTTATATTATTTTATTTATTAATTTATATTAATTAATATAAAAAAGGCCTTAATTTCCATTTAACAATTACTTAACAAGAAATTCAATGTTGTGCTCAAGTCTTACAAGATAACCCTTTTCATTAACATTAACATAAGAAAGAAATTGTAAAAATTTTCGTTTCACGAAATTAAATTATTACTGACCAGCTGCTCGCTTTTTTTGAATTTAGGTTTTTATCTAAATTTTTTTTCATTCATTATTATTGCTAATTAATATTTTATGAAGCTTAATAGAAATAAAATAAATAAATCTTGATAAATCGTAAAATCACAAATGACGTGGTCAGACGCCTACAGTTCCAAAATAATCACAATAGTGCGATTGTAATTTATCAATAAATTTATTATACAATTAATTTATTGTCAAATTCATAATTACACAATCGCACAAAGAGTTTCCATTGATAAAAAATACGATTAATAAAATATTTTTTATAGAAGACTATATTAACAAATGATATATCAAACTTTTTTATTTATTTTTTAGAAAAATACAAAATTTCTGGTCATCAAGTAGCCTTTGTAAAGTTCCAAAACTTGGTATATCAAGAAAAAGATATAAAACATGAACCAGGCCAGCCCTCCTTGGTCTTGATGGGCTCAACCTACTACTCTATCAACCCTGATCCAAGTTCTGTTAAATAATGACTCAAATTGCTTTTGAAGGTTCTTGGTTGCAATACTTTATCATGTAGCCATTAGCAACTTCAAGATGCCTTCAAATATATACAAAAGTGTTTCCAGTTGGTAAAATAAACAAAGCATCCATAAAATTATCATAAATATTATATATCTGAGATGCACTATACACGCAATATCAGCCTCAAGGAATGAACTGAATAAATAAAAAATGGATAACGTGTAAACTATTTAAGATTCATCAATTCCCTTTGCCAAAAAAATATATTATCCCCATCATAAATCACATCACTGACAGCTTGCAGAATCATGATTCTCCCTTCTCCTTCCTTTAAAAACGCTTTCTTTATCACATTTGCTCACATGCAATCCATTCGCTTGAAAGTGAAATGGGAATTGTTCCAAAATCGAGCTCTTGATGATAATTCTATAAAAGTATATATATATCTTTCAGGTCTCATTAAAAACCCTCTGCATCTTTACCAAGCGCAACTGAGAACATGGCCTTCATCCTTTTATACTTTTACATGAATACTCTTTAAACAAAAGGACATATTAATTGATACTGGTGCTTATACTATATGCATTGATCAGTTGAGCAACAACTGTACAACTGACATGGAAACTTGGCATTTAATGTTAATAGTGACGCCATACAAAATCGAACCTTGCTTATTCTATACAAACTGATAATAATAACAAAGATATGGGTGGAGAATGGACACATATTGATTTTGAATGGATGCAGGGTATTTGGACTTGATCCTGGACAGGGTGTGAAATATGAAATCAAAAAAACATCGGGAGAGAATACCTGATTTGAGAGATTTTGGTTTTAATTCCTCTTAAAAAAAATTTTTTTTTCGTTTTTCAGTAAAGAAAAAAAAGTAAATGCTCTAAATATTCAAAATTCATCGAATAAGGATGATGGTGGTGATGGGCGAGTTTATTCTAATTACTATACTATTAAGATCATCAATTGTATTTTCTTTACCTGAGGCTCCCTCTTTTTTATTAAATAAATTACTAATGCTATTTAAAATACCCACTCCACCAGAGGACGTCTTATTTTTATTTTCATCCGATTTCTTCTCGTCGGATTTGTTTTCATCGGGTTTTTTCTCATTACTTGAAGAGTCTTGTTGTTGTTGTTGTTGTTGTTGTTTTTCCTTTTCTCCTTCAGTGATTTCATTATTTGGACCTGATGACCAGAAATGTCGATAAGAGTTTGAACATTGGGACTAGTTAAGGTATTTTTCTTTCCGAGTTCTAACGGCGGTTTTTTCTGTGTACCCATTTCCTCAAGAGCTTCCATTTCGGATTCATTAGTTTTATCATCGATCTTTTTATCTGCACCAACCAATTTATCATGGAAACAAGGATAACAAGTAATCATTCTTGTGATAAATTTAAAGATAGCATAAACAATCAATTCGTCATTATTTACTTTCCAGATACCTATCATCCAACTAATAACATTCATTATAGATGTCATAATTATAGCTAAAACTGCTACCAGTAAAGTGGTTTTAGCAAATCCGGCGGCATGTTTTACTGCTATTGATTCTTCTTCAACTTGATTATTCTCAATTTGTATAAAACCTCCAAGTCCAGTTGGAAAGGCAGTATCAATACCACTATCGGAGATTCCATTAAGAGATGTTATATTACTACTGGCGGAGAATGAAGCTGCGATAATGATCAGGACTTGTGAAATTGCGCCCAAAATTTGAGAAAATTGAGCGTCCAATTTCTTGACTGATGTATTATAAGATTCAACTTTTGGCTTTAATAAATTGAACCCTTTTAATATTCCATTATAATAAATTGGGCCTTGTAATCTTGCAGGTGACTGTTTGCTTGGGTGAAATCTTCGATAAAATAAAACAATTATATTTGAAATTATAAAAAGTATGATTTGTAAACTTATTGTCACTCCGGAAATCTTACCAACGGTCGAAATATCTCCGAAATTCCATTCGGTGAAAACGAATGATCCAATAAGTACATTATAAAGGAAGTTGCCAAAACTACTACTAAGTCCTAATAAAGTCAGCCATTGGATAATTAAACTGGTATAATACATTAAAAAATTTAATAATAGTTCAACTCTATAAATGCGCCTGGTAATTCTTTTCTCTTCTTCTTCTCTTTGTTCCGGTGTATCTTTATCAACAGTCTGAATTGCTTCTTCGATGTTGTCTTTTATACCAACTTTATCTAATACCTCTAATGTCGTTTGAACAGACTCTCCGGTAATTTGTGGTGTTGCAGTAGCCATGGCATTTAAAATTTTACCACTAGTGCCTTTTACTGCTGGTATATTAACTGTCACTGGTGGTTTTGATGCAGACATTATTATTATTATTTATTATTATTATTATTATTATTATTATTTAGTATTATAAATATATGTATGTATATATTAGATAGATAATAATTAAAATATTAGTTTAAAATATTTAATTCGTTAAAAAATAGATAAAATAAAAAATTTATTTTTCTGAAAAAGAAATTTTCTGGTCTTCAATGCTGCCCGTAACCTTTTATTTATTTTTTGTTAATCGCTATGTATCTTGTTTATTATCACATTTTTAGAAAATTTATTATTATTTGTTTGTTTTGTAAAACGTAAATATACAATGATTAATAATAAATAAATAAAGTGATACAAAATTTTTCGAGAATTGTAGACGTGCGATTTGATTATAATAATAATAAATTCCCAAGCTAATTTTTATAAATAAAAAATTATTCGCTTTTTAAGGCTAGTTCCTTCCTGCTCGGGAATTGTTTTTTTGGTAATTTTTTTTTTTTTTTAATTTTGAATTTTGTACAAATTATTGGCGCGTGTAACGTTTCGTGTAACTTCTAACGTCCA